TTGTGCCCCCCGGCCCCTCCCCTGCCTCAGAGGCAGGCCAGTGTGTATGCAGGAGAGGGCGGCACTGTTTGCAGGAAAGAGCTCCCCCCCACCCCACCCCCGGGCCCTACCACCTACCGCGTCTGGCACCAGGACGGCTTTCAGACCTGCTGGCTTGGTTAATCTTCACAACATCCTCTTTAGTTCACGAATAAGACACTGGCTCAGAGTGATTCAGAGCCCTACCGGAAGATCGCAAGGTAACACATGGACGAGATGGGACCTGAACCCTACTCCTCACGCTGCTATCTACTGTCAACACTGCTGTTACATGACGCAGAGCAACTGCACGAGGCTCCTTCATCCCAACAGGCTGGATTTTTTCAGGTTCCAAAGGACCTTTCTTACATGACTTCCCAGCTGCCCTATCTAAACGCACGGCTATTCACTAATGGTTTCCAAGTAGCAACACTGGACAGAGTGTGTGATTATGGGGTTCCCAGGTACCACAGGCTTCACCGTGAAGCTCCTAAGCACCAAAAGTCAATCAGCCCGAAACAAGTTATCATTTCTATTCTCTGAGTGGGCAAGCCTACACCACAGCTCCCAAGAAAAGAGCAATCGAAAGTCCAAGTCTTGGCTGAAACATTCTCTCGGCTTTCCTCTCTGGGATAATGCCTTAGGAGCTGCAATCTGATTGTTTTTTATAGTTTGGTTTGGTTTGCTTTGTTTCGGGTTTGTTTATTTTGCACTGCAGGGCATGACTACTCACCAAACTGAGACAGAGACAGAGGGGGGGAAACATCACGCCTGTGGGGAAAGCTATACCACAGTCCCTTCTCCTCCGCCTCCCCCTCCTTTTTGGGATTTTGGGCACACATGCACACGCTTCCGGCACTGTTTCTCGGGCCACTGGTCTGGTACTGTGCGGTTGGCTGAGTGGGTTCTAGCGGCCATAACCACCAGATCACAGAGCTGGTCCACAATTAATATTTTTAAAAACCTTCCTCGCCAACTCACCACTTTTGCAAGTCACTTCATTTTGCTTAGCTGAAAAGGGAATTTTGAGGTCTATGCTTCCCTGTCTCAAAGGGGATGACGTAAAGGTGAAGCCAAGTCAGGTCCACAAGGTTCTCTGTTAGAAAATACATGAGCGTTTCTCACCAGTTATGTTTAGTCGCACGACAACAAATGTCCTTAGAGGGGACCAGCAGATGGCGTAATGGTTACATCATTGAACTCCCACATAGTTGACTGTGGTTCAAGCCCTGAACCCAGTGGCTTAAAATTTATACCGGGCACAAGTGTGTGGGGGCCCAAGATCCCGAGAGAATGGAGGAGAAGGGATTGCAGTGTGGCCATACCCCCGGGGGGTGATTTCTCGCTTTCTGTCTCTGTCTTCCTCTGTCTCTCCAGCAAATGCATGTGCCCTATAATAAAAATCTCTCTCAAAAAAGTCCTTCAGAAAGCATATCCTGGGTAAGCCTAGAGCTAAGAGGCCATCTTGGGCAAGGCTGTTTCTTTCACATGACCATTAGAAAATCTGCAACGAGAGTCACACATCTCCAATTTAGATATTCCTCATACCGCTACAACCTCATCCTCCCTTTGAAAAACTGGACTGCCATTCCTTTACATCAAACTTGGAATAATCTATGTTGAGAGTAACTTATATGTTCTATTGCTTTAATCAAGAAAATGAAAGAGAAACAGAACTCAGAGCCTATCCATGTCACTGCGGTGGGCTGAGAAGTCACACCTGGCTGATCCCTGGCCAGCCTTAGAACAAATGACCTCCCATACCAGAGACTGACCTGCTTCAGCTGCTCGTCCAGACTCCAGCTTGGTGTCCCGGCTGCAGGGACTGGAGGGGGAGCCTTGGATGTCTCTTTGGTATGGTCTTCTTTAGCTTGTCCATGCGCTGGGAGCCCAGGCGTGGGGAGCAGGCCGGACACGGGTGCCACTCTGGGGTCTTGGCGAGCTGCTTTCTGCACGTGAAAATATTTTGAAGCAGCCTGGGCCTCCTTCTCAGTCACCTCTCCAACTTCGTCATCCCCGTCTTCATCTTCCAGACCTCCTTCCTCTTCCTCAGGCTCCGAGTTCACATTGCTTCCTTCCAAACCTCGGGCCACTGCTGTAGCTGGGGGAGCTCTGGCTACAGGACCTAGTGCAGGGCTGCCAGAGGGCCTTGCAGGTATGACAGGAAGGAGCGGCGGCTGTGCAGCTGGCTTCTGGGAGTACAGGAAGGGGGCTTCTCTCACCTGCTGGCCCTGCTTCTCCCTGGTGTCCACCTGCAGAGGGGCCAGGTGTGGCTGCTTCTGTGGTGGCTGCAGTGGCTCCATCACTGGTCTGAGCTTCACCCACCAATTGGCATGGCTCTGAATCCGGGTGCAGTCCTGCAGGCACACCAGGCCTAAACCCTGAGTGAGTGACAGAAACCAGAGGAGGAGGGGGAAAACAATGACATGAAACAGGTATAAAAAGGCACCCTTTCCTTGAGTAAAGGGCCATGAGGTCTGAACACTAACCATGTGCTCCCAAACCTGAGTTTTAAGATGAGTGAGTAGTGGGGGCAGGGAAAGATGTGAAGAGGAACAAGATGTAAGACAGGAAATAGGAAATGAATCTCAGTGGTGATAGACTACTGAGGGATCTAAAAGTAGCAGATCTGGGGCCAGATGGTGGCACAGCAGTAGCACAACTGCACCCACATGGGAAAGGTCCTTGGTTCGTGCCCAGGGCCTTCCTGTATGCTGTGTGTGTGCACACGTGTGTCATGAAAGCTGGTTAAGACTGGAGGGGGATCGAGGCTTCAGAACCCTGTTAGTTCTATGTCTCTCTCCCTCATGGAAGAAATAAAGGGGAAAAAAAGAAGCAAGTCCACACAATATCTAGTCTGCTGACATCTGTGTTCTGATCTCTCTCCCTCCACGTTATCAAACATTAATCTGTTTATTACTAGGCAGCCGGGTTTGCACAGTACAGGCCTGTAACTATGAAAACCACGGTAATAATGGGAAAGAAGGACCAGCGTAAGAGACTCCTGCTTATGCTCCCAGACCTAGCGGAGGAAAATGTTACCGTCAGGCAGGCAGAAGGACTTCTCTCAGAAAAAGCAAGACCAAGCAAATTGCTCTTGGGTTTCAACTTTTCAAATTTCCCGGATCAAATGGCCAGCCTGCTTGTCAAGTAGACTGAGCTATGCTAAGTGGGTATTACGGCCTCTAAAAGAATCCAATTTCAACAACGTGGAAGAAAGGCGCAAGGAGGCGAGAGCCTCAGATGGCGATGGTCACTCAAATGGCGAAATTCCTCTGGAGGTTTTAAAGGTAATTAATTGGAAACAGATATCAATATTGCCTAAACAGCAAAGTAATGCTGCTTCTTTTTTTGGAAATGGCCAAGTAAACCTCTTCACATCCCCTTTCTTTCTGATTCATTTCTACTGTATTTATTCGAGGATGAATACAAAAAGGCAAAAGGCGTTCAGGCCCAGTTCAGGCCCAAAGCGTTTGGGGGCAGGTTTATCTGCATTCTTAACAGTCAGTCTCCAAACATACCCCTTTCACACCCTGCCCCTGCTACTCCCCCTTCCTTCCTCCTCTCCCACCCCCACCCTCAACAAACCCACTTAAGTTTTAGTTCCTCCGCAAGCCTCCATGACCGAATGGATTACTAGCAGGAGCAAATTTCAGGAGAGCAGGATTTACAACGTGGCGCACAATTTTGTCCTCACATGAAAGCAGAGGCCGCACTGCACAGGTCAGGACTTGATGCTTGCATTGTTTCAGGACTGGGTGGAAAGACGAAAACGCTAAATGTCTCTTACATGTTTACAGATTCACAGGAAGGTAATCACGCCCTCGCAGTAAAAGCTGCTTGGGCTTATGGATTTTTTATAGGTTAGAGTGAAAAAGGTACAGTGATAAAACCTAGGCAGGAAAAAAGCAAACAAGAAAGGAGAGGAAAAAATTCTCATTTTCTGTTTATCTTAGAAGCACTGCTTGGGCCCTTTGTGTTCTGTGAAACATTCAAATTCCAATTTCCCTCTACTGGCCTTTACTTCCCCCACGGGCACTTGAGAAAGTGTGAGTTATGCCTGTAGCAATACTTTCGCTCCGTTTTAGTTCTTCCTACAGTGCAACAAAACCTGGGCAGCATTGCACCCGTGTTAAATCCAGTGGCCAAAAGCGTTCTTTTAAAATAGAAACTGTCTGGGGTCAAAGAAAATCAAACAAAAGCAGCAGCGAGTCGGCGGTCGTTTGAAATGGCCTTATTATGAGGATTACAGTCAATCTATCTCCATCGGAATCATTTTCAGCCAAGTCCTGCCAGTCGCTGAACAACTGCTTCTCGTCTGGTGGCACCATCTTCTCCACAGTGCTGTCCCCTGCGGAGGGGGAGGTGTCCCACGGCGACTGAGATGACTCAGTTCTACAACTCGATCCGCACGCCCTCCCCCAAAGCCCATCTCGGCGTCCGTGCGCAGCCGGTGGTCCGAACAAGGAGCCACCTGCCTAGCTTTAGAGCCCCGCGTCCCCAGCCCTAAACTCTCGTCTGGTGGCACCATCTTCTCCACAGTGCTGTCCCCTGCGGAGGGGGAGGTGTCCCACGGCGACTGAGATGACTCAGTTCTACAACTCGATCCGCACGCCCTCCCCCAAAGCCCATCTCGGCGTCCGTGCGCAGCCGGTGGTCCGAACAAGGAGCCACCTGCCTAGCTTTAGAGCCCCGCGTCCCCAGCCCTAAACCAGCGCGTCCCCGGCGGCCCCTCCCCCACCCGAAGCTCCCGGACCCCGGGGGCG